TTTGTCTTCATATCCATTCTGTTAACCTGTGTCTTTTTACAGGTGAGTTAAGGCCATTAATATTGAGGGAGATTAAGGACCATTGATTGTTAATTTGTGTTTGTTTTGGATTTGTTATTGTTTTATTGTGAGTAAATTTTCCCTGCTTTTTCTTTTGGGTTCTGGTAAAGTGGGATTATCTAATTGCCTATGTTTTTGTGAGTATAGTTAACTTGGGTTGGAGTTTTCTCCAGAACTTTCTGTAAAGCCATATTTGTGGATATGTATTGTGTAAATCTGGATTTCTTATGGAATATCTTGTTTTCTCCATCTATAGTTATTGCGGTTAAATAAGGGTCAGGATAAACAAATAGGCCGAATAGATGTTTATTCAGGGAGAAATAACTTACAAACTAGACAGATGAACACCAGCAAGTTCCACCGTATGCTCTCCTGTCTGAGTCCCACCAGCAAGAGAGCGTTTCCCGGCTCTTCCTCAGACCTCCTTCCATAGGTCACTTCCACCCATGGCTCCACCCCGCAATGGGCGTGGTCAGTGCCACAGAAGGAGACAAAGTGAATATCTCACTACATATAGTGACCGAGAATTTTGCTGGGTATAGTAGCCTGGGCTGGCATCCGTGGACTCTTAGTGTTTGTAGAATATCTATCCAGAACCTTCTGGCTGTCAGAATTTCCATGGAGAAGTCAGATGTAATTGTGATAGCTCTGCCTTTATTTGTTGCCTGGCCTTTTTCCTTCACTGTGCTTAATATCTCTTAATATTCTTTCTTTATTCTGTACTTTTGGTGTTTTGATTATTATGTGGCAAAAAACTTTTTTTTTTTGGTCCAGTCTATTTGGTGTTTTGTATGCTTCCTGTTGTTTCATAGATGCATTCATTTTTAGGTTAGGAAAGTTTTCTTCTATGATTTTGTTGAATATGTTTTCTGCACCTTTGAGCTGGGCTTCTTCACCTTCTTTTATTCCTGTTATTCTTAGGTTTGGCCTTTTCACGGTGTCCCACATTTCCTGGATATTTTTTGTTAAGGATTTGTTGGACTTCAGATTTTCTTTGGTTGATGAATCTTATTTCCTCTAGTTTATCTTCAGTGCCTGGGATTCTCTCTTCCATCTGCTGTATTCTGTTGTTTATGCTTGCATCTGTAGTTCCAGATCATTTACCTAGATTTTCTATTTCCAGCATTCCCTCAGTTTGTATTTTCTTTATTGTCTCTATTTCAGTTTTAGGTCGTGAACTGTCTGAATTGTTTCCTTCATCTGTTTGTTTTTTTTCTTGGCTTTCCATGCTTTCTTTAAGAGATTTGTTGATTTCTTGCATTTTTTGGTTCGTCTTTTCTTCTATTTCTTCTAATTTTTTTTCCCATTACTTCAACAGCTTTTCTCATATCCTCTTTTAGGGCCTCTATCATTTTCATGAAGTTGTTCTTAAGGTCTTCTATTCTGCTTCTCCTTCTTTGGTATGTTCATGTCTTGTTGGTGTGCAGTCCCTAGATTCTGGTGGTGTCATATTGGTCTTTCTGCTGTTGGATGTGTTCTTGTACTGCCGTCTTCCATTCCCTTCTTCCATTGGGTGCAGGTGGGGTTTCTGTCTCTATTCTCCTTTTCTGATGCATGTAGGGAGTCAGGACTTCAATGTCAGTAACTCTGGATGGCCCTAGCTCTCTTGGAGGTCTCAAGCAGAGGGCGTAGGGGGGCCAAGGGTCAGGTGAGGGCAGGTTCTGGATGGTCTGGTGTGAGGGGCAGGTCCACTATGTACAGAGCGGATCCAGGAAGTTCCAAGGAGAGGGTGGGGTTGTTGGACCTGAGCTGGCCAAACACTCACCTCAAGCAGAGGGCAGATGGAGGCCAAGGCTCAGGTGAGGGTAGGCTCCAGATGGTCCACCAATAGTAATATTTTAATACCAGATGTGGTGATGTATGCCTATTATTTTAGACCTATTATTTGAGAGGTGGAGGCCAGACTGGGCAAGATTATGTCTTTCAAAACCAAGGATAGGGGATGTGGCTCAGCAGTAGAGCATATGCTCCTGTCATCCTCCAGAGAGGAGCTAGAAGTGTGTAGCTCAGCCTTGCCTGGAATCTGCCAGGGGCTGGTTCCTATAAGAGGTAGGGGCTTGGTTTAGCAGTAGAGCTCAGGCTTAGAATTCACCACTATGAATCTGGGATTGTGACTCAGTGGTAGAGTGCTGGTGAGGGCTAGGGGTGTGTCTTTTTGTGGAGCATTTGCTTAATGTGGTCAAGGCTCTGGGTTCTATTCTCAGAACTGGGGTGGAGTGGGGGTGGGGAGGGGGCATGGAGAAAATCATCCAAGGCCTTGGTGCTGACCCAGTGGGTAAAGTGCCTGAGTTCAATTCCCCAGAACTCATAGGAATGCCTGTAATGCCAGTGCTGGGGATCAGAGACAGGAAGATACTGGGAGCTCACTGGCCTGTCAGTCTAGTCAGCCAGTGAGCTGTAGGTTCCGCAAGACTTTGTCTCAAAAACTAAAGTGGAAAACAAGTTAGGAAGATAGCCACTGTCTCTGGGCTCATTTGCTTGCACATGCATGCATATACCACCCCACAACACAAAGAATCCTCCAGAAGCTGCCACATACCAGTGACCCCTCAGTCTTTCTCAGACCACTAATCTCTCTGGTGACCATTTTTGTCACTGTCACTCCTGTTTACACTACTCTGGGAATCTTTCCCAACCTCCTATGAGGAAGGGACTCTTGTGGATCCCATTTACATGTGGGGAAACTGAGACTCAGATTAAATAATCTACTCCCAAGATTACATAACTGGTGAAGCACTGAGCCAGGAATTAAACCAACCAACGTGGAGTGTTTGTGAACTGGTGAGTCACCACCTGCTGTGACCCATTCTAGCCCTCACCAAAACTCAGTAAAGTAGGGAATTGCTGTACTCATTTTTTTTTTTCAGGTCGGACATAAGAGATGGAGCTGAGTTTCAAAAGAAATTGAAAACTGAGGGACCCTGAAGCCCTCATCTCACTTTCTCAGGAGTGGATGCTTAGATTCTCTCAGCGAGTGAGGGGCATGGCTCAGCTGTAGAATTCAGAATTGTGATACTGGAAGAGACAATATCCAGATTCTCCCAGGAGCCTCGAGGGCAGCTGGTACCTTCATTTGAGCCCAGCGACACCCATTTGAAACTTCTGATCCACAGAACTGTCAGATAAGCAACCAGTTTGTAAGAATAGCAGGTGGGGACTAAGGGTGGTCCTGCGTGTATAGGTGGGTCTAGTGTGCTCAGAGCAGCTCCGGGAAGTTCCCTGCCCTCCTTTCCAGTGCTCAACCAGAGCAGTGGGGCAGTGGGCTAGGTAGGGCACAGGCTGGGGGGGGGGGAGGGCAGGTTCTTCGCACTGTGTGTGTGTGTGTATGTGTGTGTGTGTGTGTATCAGAGCACCACAGGATGGGGGGGTGAGATTTGGGGCCAATCCAGGGAGTTCCCAGAGAAGGCTGTTGGGGGATTCAACTCGAATTGGTCCCAGACTCACACCAGCAGAGGCCCAGCAATGGGAGTCCTGATTTTGTTATTTTCTTGTTTGTCATTGTAAATTTGATTTTTCTTTTTGAGTCAGGATCTTACATAGCCCAGGCTGGCCTTGAACTCACTATGCAGCCATGGGTCTCCTGCTTCATGTGTCTTGAGTGCTGGGATTGCAGGAAAATGCCTCACACCCACTTTTGTGAGGTGATTTGTTTTTCTATGCATGTGTGGTGTGCATAACTTTGTATGCATGTTTACTTGTGTGTGAGAGTGCATACATAAGTGTGGGCATGTGCGTACAGGGGTTCTTGGTTGATTTTATGCCTCTGTCTCAATTCTTCTCCACTGTACTCATCCATGCAAAGTCTTTTCCTGGACTCGATCTTGCTACTTTAGCTCTTCTGATTAGGTAGCATGCTCTGGGGAGCTCTTGTCTTCACCTCCCATGGGCCAGGATTACAGATGAACTGCCATGACCATCTGGCTTTTATGTGGTTCATTCTAGTAAATTTCATCCTGAAAGAAGAAAAAAAAAAAAAAAAAAAAAAACAACCCCCCCCCACAAACAAACAAAACCAAACCACACCAGCAGATGGCAACTTCAGTGAAGTGATCTCATCATTTTGACAAAACATGCCTGAAACAATTTAATGGGAGAAAGATTTATTCTGGGTTCTTTCTTGGGAAGTGTCATTACATAGTCATTGTGTGGTGGAGTTTGAGACAGGGTGGCCATGAAACAAACAAACAAACAAACAAAAGGAATAGAGGAATGTAGTGGCAGGTAAGATACAGCCCCTATCTCCTGCATCAAAGAACCCATTAAAGATGAACCACTGAGTCAGAACTTCCAGGATCTAACTGTGGAAATGCCTTCCCAGACAAATCAGAAGTATTGCCTACTGACTTTGAAAAGAATTACTATTTTTATGTGTGTCTTAGTTACTCTTCAATTGCTGTGATGAAACACCACGATCAAGGCAAACTTACAAAAGAGGGTATTTAATTAGGGCTTACTTACAGTTTCAGAGGGTTAACTCATTATCACCATGGCAGGGTGTGTGGCAGCAGGCAGGCGGGCATAGTGCTGAGAGCTTACATCCTGACCTGCAGGCAGTAGACAGAGGGGCACTGGGCCTAGAGTTGGCACCTTGGTGCCACACCTTCTCCAAAAGGCCACGTCTTCACCAACTAGGGACCAAGCATTCAATACATGAGTCTGTGGGAGGCATTCCCATTCAAAGCACCACAATGTGTAAGGGTGGTTTTGCCTGCATGTACGTCTGTGCACCCCATGAGTGCAGTGCCTGTGAGAGCCAGAAGAGGGCATTGGCTCCCTTGGAATTGGAGTTGCAGATGGTTGTTAGCTGCTGTGTGGGAGGTGGGAGTTGAACCTGGGTCCTCTGGGAGAGCAGTCCATGCTCTGCACCAGTTTCCCCCTCTTCTGACATTTCCTGAATGCTCTGGGAGTTGACATGCACTTACCTGATTGTGTATCCACAGCATGTTGTCCAGTTTGAATGAGTGGCTGTGGCAGGAGAAGTACTGGTTACCACCCAACAGTACCTGGGCACAACTGGAAGATCGAGATGGCCTGGTGTTCGCCCACCCTTACCACATGCTTGCTGCCTTGCCAATGGCTCTGGTCCTGGTGGCTGTGCGCATCATCTTTGAGAGGTGAGTGCCATGTTGTGGCTAGTGGAGCCCTACATGTGCGTGCGTGATGTGTGTCTGCCCTGTAGGGGTTCCCCATTTCCACATAACCAATGAGGTCCCTGGTTTTAGGCCTAAACACCTTATCTCTTATTTGAAAAGAAGATTTATATTTATTTAAGTGTGTGTGTATGTCTGTGTGTGTGTGTGTGTGTGTGTGTACCAGGTGCATGCAGGTGCCCACGGGCCAGAAAATGATGTCCTATTCCCTGGAGGTGGAGTTATAGCCACTTGATTTTGATGCTGGGATCCAAACTATAGTGCTCTTAACTGCTGAGCCATCTCTCTAACCCCATGAACATCTTGTTTTCCTGTCTCTCTTTTTAAGTGATTTATGACAGGCATCCACTACTGCTCCCAGTTTGTGCTATGCAGGATATTTCTGCACGTGTGGCAGGCATGCTGCCATCTGAGTCGCATCTCTAGACCTCTGCAATTCTTTTAAGGCTATGTTCCAAGAGCCCTTAGGAGGAACTGTTTTTAGGTCCTAGCTCTGACCAGAAATGCATCTTGGTTTGTGGTTTATACTGAACCCCCCTGAACACAGGCAGGATGGGAGGGACCCAAGGAGCATTTGCTGAAGGTATATTTACCTCAAAGACTTAAAAAAAAAAAGTGTGTGTGTGTGTGTGTGTGTGTGTGTGTGTGTGTGTGTGTGTGTAGACATCAGAGGATGCTCACTATGTTTCTCTATCTTACTACCTTCTGACAGGGATGCTAGCAAGCCCAAGCGATGCTCTTTGCTCCCTCCCCACAATGCTTAGAGAGGTGAGGTTATAGGCAGGCATGTGGCCACACCCAGGTTTTTGAATGGGTGTTAGAGATTTGAACTCATGTCCTCATGCTTGTGTGATAAATATTCTTACTGAGTCCCCTCATACACTTTCTTCTTCTTCTTCTTTTTTTTAAATGAAGGCTTCTCTGCCATTTATAGCTCTAAGATGTCTGCATGTCTTAACTCAATGCTTGATGCCAGTATACGAGATGAAATGGAGACACAGAAAGGGTTAGTAACATGTCTAAGTAACATATGTAGTAGCATATGTAGATCAGCTGGACCTGTAGGAATTCTGGGAAGCTCAGTTTAGATAGGCCATGAAAGGGGTTGCTTTCCTATAGGTATTGGGAAGAGACACCATGACCATGGCAACTCTTATGAAGAAGTTAATTGGGGTGGCTTACATTTTCAGAGATTTGGTCCATGGTGGCTTGCAGGGAGACATGGTGCTGGAAAAGTAGTTGAGTTTTCTACATCTCACAGGCAACGGGAAGTGAACTGAGTGAGACACTGGGTGTGGCTTGAGCATATATGAGACCTCAAAGCCCACCCCCAAGTGACACACTTCCTCCAAGAAGGCCATACTTAGTAATAATGCCACTCCTTTAGGGGGCCGTTTTCTTTCAAACCACCATAGGAGAGTAGGGTGTACAGTATGTGCCCAACTTCACCACTGGAGCCCAGATGGCTGTTTTTTCATATTTAAGTGGTGATCTTAGGCTGGGCATGGGGGTACAGGCCTGAAATCCCAGCATTTGGAAGGCTGAGGCAGAAGGATTGCCAGTTTGAGTATAGCCTAGGCTACATAGGGAGACTGTAACAAACAAGCAGACAACAAGCAAGCAAGCGAGGAGATATGTTAAGAGTGTTAAAGTGAGCCCGGTCATAGCAGGAACTTCTCCATATTTGGCAGAGGGAAAGTACTCAATAAAGACTGGACTCCCCTCCCCCGTCACAGTGGAATCTAATAGGAGTTCTTTACTAGGTTGATCTGGGCCTTAGGTTTCTTAAGTGAAGATGCACTGGAGATGGAGTTCAATCTCCATCTGTAGTCTTGGGGCACCCTCTTGTGGGCAATGTGGGAACTGAGTAACCAGGTACCTTCACTGGAGTAGGGATTGTGGGGTATCAGACTTAACAGGTAGCAGGCAGTGCCTCTCCCATGCAAATGGAGACTAAGACCCAGATCATCAGGACACAGAGGTCTTTCATTCTGCTTGAGGATGGGTGAAGGAACCTGGTTCCCTGTGAGTTGACCTGAACATCCCTATCCTGAAAATGATGCTAGTGTCTTTTCTTAGTTTTGGTCCAGACAATTCCCTGCCTGTGTGGACATTTTGGCTCTGGGTTTCCAAATCCTCTGGTCAGATAGATTTGAACTTTACTTGCTGATGAGGCTTGCCTAACCCTCAGGTTCCCCGCTTTCCTCTTGCTATAGTCACATCCCATTCATTTGACTTCTACTGGGTTCTATCTCTCTTGCACTCAGATTTGTGGCCTTGCCCCTGAGCCGGTGGATGGGTATAAAGGATCAAATTAGGAGGCAGATGACGCCTAATCCAGTGCTGGAGAAATACTTCCTCAGGATGGGGCAGAGACCCATGGAGGTGAGCCCCCACATCCTCTTGACAGATGTCTGCATGTTATGTCCCTGGGAATAGAAGTCCTTTGTGGCACTTACTGGAGGTTGGAAAGGGACCTCGAACTCATCCCTAAGTGTCCTCACCCAAGTTCAACCCAAGTTCACAGATTCCCTGCTACAGGCTCGAGTCTCTACCCCTCTGTCTCCTGGTATGTGAGGCCACACCTCTCCCAGCTGTGCTGAGATTAGTAGACAGTCACCTCCTTCTCAGTTTCCCTAGGTCTTGAAGCCCTCATATCTTTTCGGAGATGTGAGGCCATGCCCCTCATCTCCCTGAGCCATGAGGGTCTGCCCCTTTAAGGCTTTCTGGGTTATGAAGTCCTGGGACCTGGGGGGAATGTTTCCTTTAAAGGTCTTGAGGCTTAAACCTGTCTCTTCTTAGACTTTCTGGGACATGAGGCTCTGTTCCTCCTGGTGTTCCAGAGGTTTGAAGGTCCCCATCCTTCTCAGGGTCCCTAAGGTTTGAAACTCTGGCACTCACAACCTTCCTGGGTCATAAGCCCCTGCACCTCTAGGCGTCTTGGGGCTTGAGGCCCTGCTGCTCCCAGGATTCTTGGGGCACAAGCCCTGTGAGGCTTTCTGGGATATGAATCCCCTCATGTCTTAATGTGGGCCATCACTCAACAAACAGATCTGGGATCACAAGGAGAAGAGTAGCCTTGTTTCCTGTTCTGGGGAGGGACACAATGTCTCTGCTCCAGTGGAGTGGCTGGAATGCTGGAAGCAGCCCTGTTGCTCTGCTTCTATTCCCATCCTGGCTGGGGTTACCCAACTGGCCTGGTGAGCCAGGAAGTCTGGCTCCTAGCTGGAGACAGGGTATCTTTTTGTTTTTATTGTTTGGTTTTATTTTTCAAGACAGGGTTTCTCCTTGTAACTCTGGCTGTCCTTGACCTAGCTCTGTAGACTAGGCTGGCCTTGAACTCATAGAGATCAGCCTGCCTCTGACTCCCAAGTGCTGGTATTAAAGGTTTACGACACCACTGCCTGGCTGGCAGGGTAGCTTCTACAGAGAAGAGAACTAAATGCCTGCCTGCCTGCCTGCCTGCCTGCCTGCCTGCCTGCCTGCCTGCCTGCCTGCCTGCCTGCCTGGGGTAGCGGCCTCATCTGCTTTCTGTTGCTGTGCTAAACTTCTAATGCAAGTTGGAGAAGAAAGGGCTTGTTTTGGCTCACACTTTCAGGGGACAGGCCATCCCTGAGGGAAGTGAGGCCAGGAAGAGGAGGCAGGAACTGAAGCAAATGTCTCGGAGGAGCACTGCTGACTGGTTTGCTTCCTCTGGCTTGTGTTCAACCAGATTGCCTAGCACAGCTCAGTTCCATCTGTCTAGGCGTGATACCTCTCCCATCAGTCAGTAATCAAGATGATTCCCCAATGACATTGCTACAAGCCAAGCTAATCTGGGTGATATTGAGATGCCCTCTTTCCAGGTGACTCTTGGTGGTGTCCGTTTGACCATAAAACTAACCAGGGGATAGAGTGAGACTCAGCTCCCCAAGGGGCTGCAGGAAAGCCTGCCTCTCATCTGTGCTGGGGATGAACCCAGGACTTTGTCCATGCCAGGCAATCACCACAGCCTCCTTCTTGATGCCAAGCTCCACCAGTGACCCATGCATTCTATACGCAGGGCCAGTATTCCGGAGGTCCCTTCATCCACCTGTCTTCTCTTTCCTCTCGCTATAGTGGCTATGGCTCTGTGGGAAAGATCTTGAGCGTCAGGGGAAGGGGGCATCTGGAGACAAGGGTAGGAAACCAGTACCAGGGCTGTGTAACATTTCTTCCTCATTACCCTCTCCTCAGACCCAGATGGTCCTCCTGGCTGCCCAGTGTGGTCTCACACTGAGGCAGACTCAGCGTTGGTTCAGGAGACGTCGGAACCAGGAACGGCCTTGCCTGTCCAAGAAATTCTGTGAAGCTAGGTAATTATGGGGTGCAGGGGAGGTCGTCCGTCTGAATGATAGGGCCCCTGCTCCTCCTAGCCTGCCTGGGTGATGAGGCCCCATCCCTCCAAACCTGTGTGGCTAATGAGGCTCAGCCTCTCCTGGGTGATGAGGCTTCACCCTCCCAGCTTCCTAGTTACTTGCAGTCCTTCCCAGACTCCCTGAGATGTGAGGTCCCACCCTTTTTCAGCCTCCCTGGCAGATGAAGCTTTACTTCTGGGGCCTGGACCCCGCTCTTTCGGCAGCTGCCTCACTAGCTTCCTCCCCCTCTGCAGCTGGAGGTTTGTCTTCTATCTGTGTTCCTTCGTGGGTGGCGTCTCTGTCCTCTACCATGTGAGTAAACCTGAGGTTCACCTGTCCCACAAGCTTCTACAAGTGCCTCTTGAAGACCTACTGTGCACCAGGAGCTGGCCATCTGCAATGAATCAATCTGCTGGGGAGGAGGGGAGAGAGCATGCTGACCTACTTTCTTTTTCTGTTGCTGTAATAGTATCTCCTAACAAAAGCAGCCAAGGGAGAAGGGATTTCTTTTAGCTCATGGTCCAAGGTTACCGTCTCTGTCACAGCAGGGGAAGTAGCTTGAGGGAGTTGGTTACATCAATAATCAGGAACAGTCAGCAAGGAGAGCATGTATGTTAGTATTCAGCTCACAGTCAGCAAGGAATGTGAGTGTGTAGTGTTCAGCTCACTCTTTCATCCAGCCTAAGGCCCACAAACTAGTGCTACCCATATTAAGGATGGGTCTTCCCATCTCCATTACCCGAAATAAGAAGACCTCTCATGTAGGCATCTGCACAGACCAACCTAATCTAAAGAATCCCTTCCCAGGTGATTCTCAGTGTGTCAACTTGACAGTTAAAAAAAAAAAAAAAAAAAAAAAAAAAACCATCAGGAGTTGTGGGCAGAAGGATCGTGAATTTTATTTGAGGGCAACATGAGCTACATAGTGAGAGGCTCTGGAAGTTCTGGTAGTGGGGTGTTCAGATCCAGGCTAGGAGGCTGGCTTTTGCCTTTGGAGAGCTTGAGATCCTTTGTTCTTCATAGGAGCCATGGTTTTGGACATTGGCATTGTGCTGGGAAAATTACCCACAACAGGTGAGTGGCAAGTGGGCTGTGGGGAAACTCAGTTCTTGTGGTCACAGGCCAAAGAGGTCCAGCTTCACTACCTGCCTGTATGATGGGTCCCAGCCCCTCTACCTGCATGTATGATGGAGCCCAGCCCCACTACCTGCATGTGTGATTGGGCCCAGCCCCTCTACCTGCATGTATGATTGAGGCCCAGCCCCTCTACCTGCATGTATGATTGAGGCCCAGCCCCTCTACCTGCATGTATGATTGAGGCCCAGCCCCTCTACCTGCATGTACGATGGGGCTCCTCTCCTCCTTCCTGCTTGTGTGATGAGACCTGGCCCTTCTTGGCTGCTTGGATGATGATGCTCCTCCCCTGCTTCCTGTCTGAGTGGTAAGGCCTGGCCTTTCACAACCTTCCTTGGTGCTGACAGCCCATTCTTTCTAGTATTCTTGGTCCTTGAGGCCCTGACTCTCACAACCTCCCTGGAATGTGAAGCCTCATCATTCTTCAGTGTCCCAGGCAGATGAGTCCTCTCCCACTTCCCAGGGACATGACCCCATCCACTGTCCCCTAACCCCCTTTGGCTATGATGCCTAGTCTCTTCTGGTTTCCTGGGACTTGAAGCTTTGCCTCTGGACCGTGAAGGCTCACCTCTTGAGGCCTCTCTGGGCCATGAGATCCTGTTCTTTGTCCTTTGAATGTGAGGACACTCTACTCCCAATTCTGTTTTTTGACTCTTCTGTAAAGGGAGGAGAATAAGATCAGGACCTTGCCCAGACCACTTCCAGGGATGGGGACTGCATGCTATTCTTTCAAGTGTCCAGGTTTTGGGCAACCTGGGAGAATCTCCATCTAAGTCACTTCCAGGTGGGAGCCTCTATGTGTCACAGCTAACCTTTCCTTACCCTGCTGTAGACCCTGAATCTGGCCCTGTACTGGTGGTACCTCCTGGAGCTGGGCTTCTACATTTCACTGCTAATCACTTTGCCCTTTGACATCAAACGCAAGGTAAGCTATAAGCCACACATGCAGCTGGATGTATGGGCACCACGGGAGAGATGCTTTCTAATTTCTGGGAAGGGCTGAAGAGGGGTGAATTGGCCTTAACAGTGTACCCTGAGATGCGGTTGATACTTGGCAGAAAGTATGGGGTCCAGCAGCTTTATGGATCTCCTGAAAGGGTTTGCTTCCAGGCATGTGGCCCTCTGGCCAAAGAGGTTTGTCCCACTGTCTTCTGCAGGACTTCAAGGAGCAGGTGGTGCACCACTTTGTGGCCGTGGGACTGATAGCCTTCTCCTACAGCTCCAACTTGCTGCGCATTGGTTCCGTGGTGCTGCTGCTGCATGATTGCTCTGACTACCTGCTGGAGGTGAGTTCACCTCCACATGTGTCCCGTCAGGCCTGCTGTTTTCCTGGCCATGTTGAGGAGGCCCTGCCACAACTGGGCTATCTGATGTGACTGCCTCTCCTAATCTGTTAGGGTGATGACACCCTGCCCCCTCAACCTTTCTGGGAGGTGAAACCTGGTCCTTTTTAATTAGCCAGTGACGTAAGGCCCATTCCATCTTGGTCTCTCTGGGACAGGAAGTCGCCATCCCTGTCTGACTCATTTGTATATAAGTCCTGCCCCTCCCAGCCTTTCAGAGACTAGAGGCACCATGCCTGAGTCTCCCTGGAGATGGAATATTCTATCTCCATCTTGTCTCTTTCTACTCTTTCATTTTTTGCCCTTCCTAGGTAGTGCTGGAGATATGGCCTTACCTCAATTCACTTGGCCTCACCCCCATAGCTTCTTGTCCCCAAGCTGAGGACCCTGTCGTCTGATCTACCACTTTCCATGGATTCTTGGTCCTAAGCCTGTTTTTCTTTGCTGCTCTCCCCAGGCTTGTAAGATGTTCAACTATACCCACTTTCAGCGAGTGTGCAACACGCTCTTCATCATCTTCTCCTTAGTCTTCTTCTACACTCGCCTCATATACTTCCCCACCCAGTGAGTCCTGAGGGTTAGGGAGATGGGAGGGTGTGACCAGGATTCAGGCAGGCCTCACCCTTGGTGCTGCACCTCAGGAAGCTGGAGGTGCTGGCTGAGATTTTTCCAGGAGGCAGGGAATGGTGTGTCTGGCCTAGAGCACGGCATATGCAAAGGCCCAGAGGTAAGAGAAACAGAAACTGAGCGCAGCATTAGTGTAGTGCACTCCCGGACAGGAAGAGAGAGGAGGAGGCTGACCAAGTGCCTGATCACTAATTGTCTAGTAAATATTTTTTGATATTTGTTGAGCCTCTGGAATGTGTCAGGGGGTGAAGAAATATCAGAGAGAGCAATGCAGATTCCTGCCATCCTGGAGATAAACTGATGCGGGGTTGAGAAAAAGGATGGATAGGCAAGCAGACAGACCACAAGGCACCAGGGAGTGATAGCACTCAAGAGAAAATCAAGTTAGGAAGTGCATAGGAAGCAGGTTTGTAAGTGGCTGGCCCTGGATGAGGCCCTCGTTAGGGCTGCTTCATTGGTAGCTTGCACATAGAGAATGAGTGGGAAGCAAGAACCACACTGACCATAGAGGAAGATGGTCCAGGTGGAGGGAACAGCATATGCAAAGGCTCCGAGGCTAGACTGTGTTCCAGTGTTGGAAGAATGGAAATGATGAGTTCATGTGGTTGGAACACAGAAGGATAAGGTGAATGCAGGTAGGTGACCAGGGGAAGTCATGAAGGATCCTATGGGATGTTATCTGAAGGGAGGTGGGAGCCGTGGAGGGCTGAGGGCAGATGGTGGGAAGCTGGGGCAGATGGACCAGAGCAGGTGAGAAAAGACTAGAAAGAGACACCATCAGGGCTAGGACAAACTTCAGGAGGCATCAGGAGCCCAGCTGCTTCACACTAGTTTTGAGGGGCTTATGTTCCTTTGTAGACAGGGGAAGCAGATGGCATGACAGACTGGGCTTTCTGGAAAGGCCCGGATATAATTGCAGGAGTTGCCAGCTTGTGGTAGGCATTTGCCACAGGAGGCTGGGCAGAGTCCTGGGGCTAAGGTATGGCTAATAGCCATTTCCTAGAGTTCTCTGATTTTTTTGTTGGAGACTGATGGAAAAGTTATGAGAGATGAAGACTGGAGTTGTGTGAAGTTCAGTGGTAAAGATCTCTTAGGGGAGAGGGAATCAGAGGGAAAAGAGAGAGAAGGAAGGAGAAAGAAAGAAAGTAAAGGGACAAGATGGGACAGATGATGAAAATGGAAGAAGGAAAGGAAGAAGAAAAAAGATGGAAGGAAAGGGGTGGGGTGAAGTATGCAGGGGCAAAGATTGATCAAGGGTGTGTGGTTGGCTTTTTCTGTTTTGTGTATGAAATAACAGCAGGGTTGGATTTGATGGTAAAGAATATGTGTAGTTGGTATGGGCAGAGCTTGGGTCAGCTGGCAAGAGGGTGGAGGTGCAGGGAAAGTGTGTTCAGGAACAGTCTCTGACTGGCATCTGGTGGCTCTGTGAGATGATGAGTAGATAGGTCTCAGGTTGAGGTAGAGGGTCACCTAAGAGGGAGGGCCAGTAGGACATTAGGTACTGCCTTCGAGTTTGTGGTACAGAAAGGACAGTTGGCAAACTTGTGTGTTCCACTGACTGAGTATAAGCAGGTCCAGAGAGATTACCATCTCAGGGTGGGGCACTAGGGAGTTTCAGGAGCACAGATGGTCCATGTAAGCTGCTAGAATGGGGGCCACACAGATTGCTGAAACTCCTTCTTGCTTCCTGCCTTAGGGTCATCTACTCCACTGTGTTTGACTCCATCAGGAGCTCAGGCCCCTTCTTCGGCTACTACTATTTTAATGTGCTCTTGGTGATGCTGCAGATTCTTCATGTGTACTGGTTCTGTCTCATCCTGCGCATGGTCTGCAGTTTCCTGAGGAAGGGTCAGGTATGGAGGCCTGATAGGGTCAGCTCCCAATTCCCCTCTTTGGCTCAATGCTCCTTGCTCTGTTCTAAGCTCTGGAACCATCTGTTTTCACAGATGGGAAAGGACATTCGTAGTGATGCGGAAGAATCAGACTCCAGTGATGATGGGGCAGTTCCTGAAGGTCCTCAGCTGAAGAACAGAATGGCTCGAGGGTCTGGGCCAGCCATTGCCAATGTCCCACGGAGCCGGGCAGCTGGGCGCCTGGCCAATGGACACACTCAGGCCACCTAGGACTGACATTGAGGGGTTGCTTCCAGCATTGTGAATATCCAGATGCTGGGTTGGTGACCTTGGGAGACAGGGAGGCCCTCTCCCTGGTAGGAAGAGGACTAATGATCTGTTTCCAGCACTTCCCTCCTACCCCTTTATCCCTTTGAGCAACTGGATGGAGCCTGGGGGAGCAGTGGACTCTGCATCTGTCCAGAGTCACCATCAGGCTGTAGCCTGGGGGCTGTGGGGAGCCTTGGCTCCAAGGACCAATAAAACTTCAACAGAGATAAATTCTCTGCCTGAGAGCTTTGGTTCCCTTCACAGCCCTTCCTCTCCATTACTCTGTTGACAGGATTCCTCATGGCCACATAAGGATGTACATTTTCACCCACATAACATCATGGTGTAAAAGTACTCCCTGCCCCTTAGTCAGTGCCTTCACCATGTTCTCCTTCAGAGTAGCTCTCAGGATGTTGGTATTAGCTGATAGCCCTGGTGTACAGGAAAAAAGTTATTGCACTTAGATGCAGCTCTTCTGTCTGAGGTTACAGTCAGAAGGTAGAGCAGAAACCCAAGCATGTCTGTGTAGTCCCTTGCTTAAAGCAACCTGCAGCCTCACCCTGGGGTCTTTATACTCTTGGGACAGTGGAGACTCAAGGGGTGGTGTAAGGTCATTGTCTTCAGAAGTGCTATACGAAAACATCCTCCTCCAAGATGGAGGCTGGGTGACCAGTGTCATTTAACTCAGAAATCAAAGCCACAGAATCTGTTCATGGTTAGACCATGCTGTCTTTGAGAGTATGCAAGAGGGACTGAGTGTTATAGAAGAGAGAAAAGCAGAGACAATGCAGAGACTGCACCTCAAGGGATCCAAAAATAAATGCTCTGGGGACAAAGAACAGAGCCTGGCAAGGCAGCTCATGACTATTGTCTAACACTGGGGAGGAAGAAGCCAATAGACTGGAAAAACACACATGCCTGGAATACAAAGCAGAACCAAGCCTCAAAACAAGCAATGGGAGGGAGCGTAGAGGAACAGGTACCCAGGAAAGAAACAGATAGGAACAGCTAAGAAAAAGATGGAAAAATGCTAGAAGAATGAGGACCAGCTATGGATGCAGAGTGGGATGGTGAGATGGGATGTGGATTTTTTCCCCCTTGGGAGATATGGTAAAAAGGAAGAGAAATATGGCTTCTGTTGAGACAATAACAGTTCAAGGGTAACAAACGTTAAGCAACATAGGCAGAGACTGCATAGAGACTTGTGAAAGAACCAGGAAGACAAGGCAACAGAAGGAAAGGAAAAGGGGCCAAGGGGGAAAGAGATGAAAAGAATAGGAAAAAAGGGGGAAAGGAGAAAGAGAAAATGTGGATAGTGCATGGATGAGAAACCTGGAAAAGAATAGGAAGGGGCATTTGAGAAGGCAGGAAGAAGGATACTGAAGAGAGAAACAGCTCTAAGAGAACTTGAGGGATGAAAACAGGATATGGTCACAAGCCTGAAATCACAATACTGTGGATGCTAAGGCATGAAGGTCATAGTTTTGATGTTGAGTCTTTCTCTGTTCTGCCAGCCAGCTTCCATATTTTGACACAGAGACTTCTTATTAATTATGAAAGCTTGGCTGATAGCTTAGGTTTGTTTCTAACTAGTTCTTATAAATTAACCCATGTCTTTTAATCTACATTCTTTTACATGTCTCAGTTACTTTTATCTTGTGAAGCTCATGCTGCTTGCTCTGCATCTCTGGCATTTCCTCACGACTCTGCCCTTCCTCTTCCCAGCATTCTCCATAATCCTGAAAACCCTGATTATCTATTTGGCTGTTTAGCTTCTTATTAAACCAATCTGAGTGACACATATTAATAGTGTACCTTTTTGTCTAAATAAAAAGGAAAGGTTTTATCGCTAGCATAATAAGAACAATTACCAGGTATCATCTAAATAGAAAGGAAAGATATTAACTTTAATAAATGAAACTATAAAATAAGGATAGTTATCAGGTAAGAATTACATTTACAATGTCCAGTCCACTTGGCAAATTTAGAGAAAATACTTCATTATCTTCTCTAGATGAGTTCAGAGTTGTGTACTAATTTATCTTTTATCATAACAAAGGAAAACTATAACTAGTCTTCAATCCATAAAAAACCCCAGAAGGATATAATATTACCTGAGGAAATGGGAAGTGCAGTACAAGTTGCTTTCAAACCTATCTGGCTGGACATTTCACCCAAGATTCTTCTGCAGTGTTGGGGCATCTACCTTAATCCTATAGGCCCAGAATATTTTTCAGACTTCTCTATGAAGCAGGAATTTTTAAGTACTGCCCTGCCTTACCTTGGCAAAGTTTCCTTTGTGTTCTGCTTGTCCAATTTGTACTGGCAGACTTATTTGAAGCAGGAATTTTGAAGGACTGTCCTGATAATCTTGGCAAAGTTCAACAGTCTTATTCCTTTGTGTCCTTTGTGTCTAGTTTGTACAGCATATTGTCAGCAGTCAAGGCAAGAACAATTTTTTTTCCAGTGGCAACCTCACCACAATGAAAGCAAATTCCATAAGGAAGTTCTTCAATTCCCATCATCTTCTCTGAAGGAAATTGATTCTGCCAGGAGCAGACATATTTCACTGTTATGAAAAGCCTCAGGTAATTAAACATCTTAAATGTCACAATCTGTAGTTCTTGCAAGTGTTTGAAGTCTATCTAAATATATTTGTTTAACCTTGAAAACATATGGAATATAGCTACAACTTTGATTATTATAGATGACAAACCACTAGCCTGCATTTCTTAGTTATGCATTACATTTTTAAATGAGCCACATAAGAACAATACCCCAAACAAGAATAGAAACATAATTCAGTAGAACAAAAATAACCTTAAATTTGTATCAATATATAAGAATTCCATCACACTGTACAGTATTTGAGATAGTGGTTGTTCAAAAGTAGAGTTAACAACCCACCCCTTATCCCATCATTTCTATACTATGTCCCCCTTCCCCTTCATCTTTTAATCTATGTTCTTTTAAATGGCTCAGTTACCTTTATCTTGTGAAGCTCATGCTGCTATCTCTGCATCTCTGGCATCTCCTCACGACTTTGCCCTTCCTCTTCCCAGCATTCTCTATGCCCTGAAAATCTTGCTTAGCTATTGGCTGCTCAGCTTTTTATTAAACCAATCAGCATGACACATATTAACAGTATACAAAAAGATTATTCTACAACAGCTTGAATCCAGCCTGGGAAGGAGAACCAACCATGAAAAGCAACAACAAATAGCACAGAGTGGACATGCATAGAGGTACATGGACACAATGGGACTTCATGTAGCTGTAAAGAATAAATCATATTTGTTTCAGGAAAATGGATGCCACTGGAAATCATGTTTGGTGAAATAAGCCATACTCAGAAAGGCAAATACTGAATGTTTTCTTTTATTGCAAAGCTTAGATTTTAAATTATTAGTGTTTCTATATGTGTGTGTTTGCATTTATGTGTTTATAGGTCATGGAAATATAAGGGCTCATAAGAGAGGAGGAAGCAATCTTAAGAGAGATGAAGAATGTAATACATGTGACATGGAAACAGTAGGGGAAGATAACTGACCAAGAGGGGACCATATCAAGGAGGGACACAGGAAGAGTAATGAGTGAATGAGAACTAAGTGTAATTACTCATGTGTATGAAGATGTCACAATAAAACTCATTACTTTTTGCTTGTTTTTTCTCAATGTTTTATTTAATTTTTTTCATTTTATATAGCAACCCTAGTTTTCTCTCCCTCCCCTTCTCTTGCCCCCACTGTCCTCTTCCCACCCTCCCATCCAATCCTCAGAGGGGGTAAGGTCTTCCTTGGGGAGTCGGCATACCAAGTTGAGGCAGGACCAAGCCCCTCTCTGTATCTAGGCTGAGCAAGTTATTCCACCATAGGGAATGGGCTCAAAAAAGTCAGTTCATGTACCCAGGATAGGTACTGTTCCTACTGCCAGGGTCCCCGCGCCCTCCAAACAGATGAAGCCACTTAACTGTCATCCACATTCAGAGGGCCTACTTTGGTCCCATGAGATTCCTTAGGTGTCAGCCCATAGTCTGTGAGCTTCCATTAACTTGGGTCAACTGTCTCTGTGGTTTTCCCCATCATGCTCTTGACCCATGTTCATATGATCCCTTCTCCCTCTCTTCAAATGAACTCCAAGAGCTGAGCCCAATGGTTGGCTGTGGTAAAACTTCTTGCTTTTTATGTAAATGTAAAAAAAAAAACAAACAAAAAACAAAACAACAAAAAATAGGATCAATAAACCTAAAACAAATACCAATCTTACAATAACCTTAGTACAGAATAGTGCTGGATTCTTAAAGTGGGATTAGTAGTTGTGATGTTCACCTCCATTGTCAGCTTGATGAGAGTCAACTGTGAGATGGGCCTCTAGGTATACCTATAAGGGAGTATTTTGATTAGGTTAATTGAAGTGAGAAGACCTGTCCACTGTGGATGGCATTATTCCCTGCAAAGGAGAATGTAGGTAGCCAAATATAATAGCTAATATTCTGTAGGTATATGCTAAGTTCATCTGACCTATGATATAATTTAACTCTGGCACATCTTTGTTGACTTTTAGTTTGGATGACCTATTTATGAGAGTTTGGTGTTGAACTCATCCACTAATACATTATGAGGACCTATTTTTCCATTTAATGTTTGTTTTATGGAGTTGGAGCCCCAACTTTTGGTGTGTTTGGTTTTAATGCTCTCGATAAACATTTTCCATCTTTTGATTTTATCAGTGAGGTATTTTTCTTGGAGACAGTATAGAGTTGGATCTAGTGTTTCCTTAAATATATGAATAGATTTTATTTTTATTTTATAAGAATTATTTTGAACTTGATGTTTACTACAGCATTGAGGAGAAGATACAGAGGTTTTATTGTTCCCTTTCCCTATCATGTGTAAGCCTCTCCCACTGTCAACACCCTCCATCACAGTGGTGTATTTGTCACAATCCGCCCTGTCGTGACCTTTCACCATTCTCCCTGGTATTCCTTTTCAGTTTTGGATCCAGCCTACTGGTCTGTATCTCTTTATTGGCGAGTTGAGTCCATTTAATATAGATTATTATTGAGAAATATCTATTAATTTCTGTTATTTATGTCAGTTGGATTACTGTTTCTTCTTTATGCTGTCCCAAATTAGTATCTGATTTTGTTGCATATAATGGACTCCTTCCAGTTCTTTTTTTGTTCAGCTAGTTTGCTTTAGTGATTGCAATTTTTTTTTTTTTTTTTTTGC